CCCCAAAACCCCAAAACCCCAAAACCCCTTTATAAGAAACAATGATTGAAAATTTAAGAGTTAAAGTAAGGCTGAAATGTCAGCTAAGTCATCATTGCCTGGATTGTCATCATCATCATCAATGTTGTTGCCATTGATTTTGGTAGTCTGGGAATTATCCTGACTGTCAAGATTGAAAGAGGTCAGATCATTTGATTGTGAATTGTTATTCTGAGTTCCTTGGCTGATGCAGAAAGTCGTCTGAGAGTCACTTTTGTTTCCATTTACGCTTTGCTGAGAAGAACCGACAAAGTAATTATCCCCTCCATTGATTTCATCTTGGCTAGTAATTGTTCCAGAAAAATGTTGATCGCCATCCATATAACTATTGTAACTGAACTGCCCAGACTTTTTCTTCTTATTTCTCCTTCTATTTTTCTTCATATTTGGATCAGGGAATTCTCCTGGATTTAGTCCAAGTCTTAGTAAGATTTCATGCTTAGCTTCTGTGTATCTGTCAAAGCTCATGATAACTGGAAAAAGTTCTTCAAGAAGGCCTGAATTGAGACAATGCTCCATTAGAATTATTGTGACTATAGCATCTAGCACAATAATTTCATTTCTCATCATTAATCTAGCATGGGCTTCTGAGATTCTAATCAAAGATTCAAGCATTCTGACTGTCTTTCTGTCTTGAGGCAATCGTTCCCTCTTTCTCAGATACTGGTAATAATTCTGAAAGATTCTGATTGCATAATCTGATAATTCAGGACTGAACTCTCTTTGAATATAAAGAATGTACTTTCCTAATTTTTCAACTCCCCAAATAGTTGGGTCTCTTTCTGCTTCTTCTTCGGTATTCTAAAACTTATTCGAGTATTTCTTACCATTGAGAGTTTAAAATTTGCATGAGCCGAGTCGTATTCTACTAAGTGCTCGTCCTTCATCATGAAAATCAGATCAAATCGACTGAGCAAAGAGCTAGAGATTCCAGTATTTTGTCCATTATTATAATTCATGTCTATCCTGTTTGAACCACTAGGGTTTGTAGCTGCAATGATTGTAGCTCTTGCGTTGATTTTACATACCAATCCAGCTTTAGCGATGGATAATGTTTGCTGTTCCATTGCTTCATGAACAGAGCCTCTATCTTCTTGTCTAATAAGTGCAAATTCATCAATACAACAAACACCACAATCTGCTAAGACAAGGGCTCCAGCTTCTAGGATCCATTCGTTTCCGTCTTTAAAGGCTGCTACTGTGAGACCAGCTGAGGTTGTTCCAATACCTGTTGTCATCACTGATCTCATTGACAATTTTTGTGCGAATCAAAGAAGACATGATTTTCCTGTTCCTGGTTCTCCCACCATGAGCATGTGGATTTGTCCTCTAATTTTGGTATTATCCTTCTCGATCAACTTTGGAACCCCACCGATAATAGCTAGGAGCATGCCTAATTTCTGTTCATTCTTCTCATAGATATAAGGTCAGATAGATTCTATTAGTTTGTTTCTTCCTTCAAGGTATGGGCAATCTTTCCAAAATTTCTTAAATTCAGCCTTGTTTTCAGAGGTCACATCAAATCTTTGAATGAATTCCTTCTTGTTAAGCACAATAATGTAGTTAGCTAGGATTGCTATTTCTATATTTGGCCTCTCATCTTTTCTGTCATCGCTCCATCTTTGGATAATGATGCCATTAATAAGGACATCATCTCCTGGCTTTCAGACATCAACGAGGTTATCTTCTAGAATTACAATGATTGATCTAGGAATATTACCAGGTTTAAGTGTCTTAAACAACTCCTGAACTTTAATTTCCTGGTAATCTGAGAAAATAGAAGTGTAAGGATTCTTGCTAAATTTTCTACTCATTCATGTACCAAGAGCGGTCATTCCCATGTCACCTTTGCCATTTTCATCTCCCTTGTTGGCTTTCTTCCTCATGAGCTTGTTCATTAAGGCATCGTAGGGGTTATATTTCTTTTCAACAGTTCCTCCACAGAAAAGTGGCATTTGAAGCTTAGAATATTGAAAGAGATCAGAGTTAACTTTATGCTTGGTTCCTCAACGGACACACTCTACATCTCACTGAAGCTCTCTATCTTTTCTCCCAGTGGTTCTGATAGTTGTTCCAAAAAGAGAGATATATTTTCCAACATGATATTCTTTGATGTTTCTGATGCTGTCAATTTTAACTTCTTTAATCATTGGCACGTTGAAAAGTCTTACATCAAGATACTGTTTTACTCTTCAACCTCTATCATATTAGCCTTGAAGTACTTACGAGTATGTCTCTTTCACTTTTGAAAGCAGGTTTTCTTGGATATACACAAAGAACTTCCTCATTGTGTTTAAGAAATCTTCCGGATGTGAATGAAAGTTAGCTCCAAACCATGGAAAATGGTAGATAAACTCAAGCAAACTATGAAGTTAATCCAATGACTTACTCAAAAGCCATATCATAATGTATCAGCGGGTCTGGCTCTATCAGGACTTCCCTCAACGAGGGTGCATATTTATCCGTGAGATATTTGAAAATTTCTTTGACATCTTCCTCTTGTTGGTTAAGATTTATACTATCTCTGGCTGCTTGTGTCATGGTTGACTATTTCACTAGAAATGATGCTTTTATCCTTGCACTTGCAATTTAAGCATTATTCAAACAGAATTTATTGAAAATTATTAAACTAGTTTTCAATTAATGCTAGAATTGAAGGGGTTTTGGGGTTTTGGGGTTTTGGGGTTTTGGGG